TCTGCACACTTCAGCAAGCTCTTTCAGCTGACGTCGCCACGCTATACGTTCGAAAATTTCAAGATTAAACGTTAGCTCTGATTCGGTGATGAGTCCTTGGAAATTACCGCTGCACTCGCAGAAGCGGATCAAATTATTTTTACGAATCTGCAAACGAACCTATCAATTATTAACAAACAAACGCTGCTCGAACGAATTCGAGTAATATCAAAATCCAATGAACCAATTCGAAGAGGATCACTCATCCCTTCAGAGGAACGAAAATCAACGAATCATAAAATCTAATAAACGTACCGATCCACACTTTGTACACTTAAAATCTTGCAGTGAATACGCAACAGCCAATTGCTTCAATCGTTCAATGAGGAGACCTTCGATCATTTTTACAGATAATGCCTTTTTACAATTCTCACAAATCCATTCGTCTTCTTGTACCGCATTCAAATCATTGTATTGATTGCACGCATCACAGAATACTTGTGATAAATTGCAGCAAACAGCCATTGGATGCCACATACCCTCTTCACATGAATCATCGTAACCAAGTAATCGAAGCAACTGACTTCGTAACTGTAAATTTGTAAAACGCCGATTTCCAGTGTTAAATGCTTTTTTTGGAAGCTTCGTGTTTTGCATTTCTTTCTCCCTTACAGATAATCAACTNATCAACTGAATTTGAATATTACTGAATTTTTGCGAAAATTTCCATATTGCTTTCGAACAAACCATTTTTACGCTGTTAACATACAGTTTTTATAATACCAGTGAATCATTCATAAAAAGAGGAAACAGTTGAGCATTGAAAACTAACGAATAACTATGGGATTACTCAATCAATTTATGACTGCCATTTTTATGAAAGGAGGATCAAATTGATTATTGTTAACTGCGTGGAAAGAAGAATGCCAAAGAAGGAAGAAAGTGATATTAATGATACTGGTAATGAAATAGAGGCATAAACTCGTAATGAGCTGGATTTGATGAATAAATAAAATGAACAAATAAATTAATAAATAAATGATGTGCTGCTAGCGATATGGGAAAAAGCAAATAAGTATGTGAAAGAAATTCAGCCTCATCCACATGAAATAGACTCAGGCATATACTTTGAACTAAATCGAGTTTTTTGCTCAACTTCAGTCTTATGTGCATTTCCCTGTAAGACTTATTTACCTTCTTTTAATATGTATGAGCTTTGTCTAAATCTTTATGAAGCCAATCGAAAAGATGAATCTATCATAAGCTAACCTTATCAACGGTTTGAGCAACTTTTTCGTCGAATGATAAGAAATGAATAATACATTTCGCGAGTTGCAGAGGTGCATCGTGGAGTGTCTCTCGTGATGCCGTCCTATCGGGCATTGCGACATCTTTTTTGTATATTGCCAACTTGCTGAATATCGCAAATAAACGTTCACTAATTTCATTTCTTATTAAGTCCTCTCGATAAGCCACCAACTCTTCACCAGACACCTAAATGAATTTTGCTTCTGAGGATTCAATTTCAAATAAAAATATAAATCGAAGTAAACATCACTTATTTCTCCAAAAAAAAAAGTTTTTAAGGCACCTATCCATAAACGACTAAATAACAATCGAATATATATGATTTCGAGAAAGAACCAAAACATGAATTTGCAAATAAGATGCGTCTGTTTCCAAAAAAAAAAACAAAACAATAAGAGCTCATTTATGACTTTCAAATATTTAAGCCATTAATTTAAATATTTTCTCTCGTAACGATTTCTGTAATATTTCCCGTGTTTATAGGGCATTTGTTGACGTGACAATGAAAAATCAAATGAATTTTCATGAATTCGTTAAACAGCATTGGGGTGGTTTTGATCAATGAATTGAGCAGTGGTCACCACCTCAGATTTCATTTTAGTGGCAATCGTCTGCATATATTCGAGAAGGATTCGTGAAAATGTCGACTTGCACATGGCTTCCTCGGGCAATAAATCCGCGATGGAGAGTTTCGACGTTATACGATCCTCCTTACCGTTCTCTTCGTCACCAACATCAGCAAATTCAATACACGCATAGTTCTCCTTCAAATATTGATGAAAATCACCCATTTGCTGGTTGAAGGGACCGTAGACAGGTCAAAAAAGACATACGCAAACACTTGAAATAGCAATTCGAGCCTATTTCTTTCGTCACATATGTCATTGAACATTTTTTTTCTTGACATTATTCATAACTCCTATGTCATTAATAAATACTATGATATGCATTCAATTATCTGCTCAAAACAAGTGGATACCAGTAATTTCTCCAGAATAAATATGTATACTATTCAAGCACATTGACTTTGAGCATAATTACAATTCAAATATTAAACACTGTACTGATTAGATAATAAGGCACTGAACTAAAATAGTTCATTTCAATACTTTCATCAAAAATTTAGAAGAGTTGACAATAGAACTGAATACTCAAAGCTCTTTTTCAGAAGTTTATCTACATCATTTCAGTCCTATCAACCAACTAACTCAAAGGCTACGAGGAACTAGCAAAATGGCGAAGGATAGAGGAAGAACAGGGAAGGCTTAGGGTAGGCAAACTGCATGGTCGGAAATCAAAGGAATCAAAAGTAAATAAATGAAAGGATAGCGAATTCCAAAAAAAGACGAACAATATCCATCCATAAAAGAATATTCCAAAAGTGGATCGGTGAAATGTACAAAGCAGCAAATAAAGGATTTTGTTTAAGTGTGCTTATCATCGACGTTATGAATGCAGTTGCGAGTTGTTTATTGGCACGTTTCGTGCAAATGATCATTCGTGTTTGCGATGCGTGCAACACTTCACCACCCATACGAGTGATCTGAAATGTTGACCATTTTCCAATTACTTTTGTTGACCATTTTGGTTCTCTTTTTGAGAAAGCATCTGTAATTTCATCACCTCCATTCGATGCTTGCTTCATAATTATTTAATACTCTCATCCATGTTTGAAACGATGCTTGAAGCAAATAAATTGGTGATCGACCGACTAATTCATGAGTTGTGCGAGCAATAAAAATCACGGCAATAAAGGTAACAAATTCGAGTATTTAAAAAAATTTCTCAATAAACATTAAGTGAAATCTATCGATCATACGTCAGATGATGAATTGTTTAAAACAACATCACAATAACGAATGTTCCTTATCATTTACTTGACAATAATAATGATCACACCGATGATAACGTCAGTATAAAACAAACAATCACAATGGTCAACAAACCTCAGCAACGAGTAACAAACACAATTTTGTCACTAAAATATCGACGGCACGCGCGATTGCTGGCTCATAGAGAAGTGCTCGTGGCGAATGAATCCATCTGACAATGAGCAAAATCTTTTATATTCTCAAAGAATCAGTGATTATTCACTCGGAATTTTACTTCTTTATCCGAAATCAATCTTTACAAATGTCAAATTGGAAACAATAACATTGCCGAAAACAAAAATGACACTCCAAAAAAATAATGAGCTCCAAACCGATATATATTAACAATAAGTTGATCGGCGATTGCATTTGAACTCAGATGAATATCTTTCGCACATTCTTGTACCATCGAACGTAATACCTTAAAATCACTCTTAATTGTATACCCTAAATTTCTGTTACATCGTCAAAAATTCGAGATATTTTAAAAGAATTGATGCTTGCACCATGAAAATCACTCAAAAAATGTGCTCGAAAAGAAGGCTTCTTCCCAGACACAAAAATTAAAGCGCACAGAAATTACGTTTTCTGAACTAAACTTGAAAATACCTCTAACGATCTGTCGTAAAATTTGTCAGTCATCTCAAAATTGGAACGAAAAAACACTTCATAAGCAATTCGCCAGATAAATGAAAAACAATGAGAGAAAAACTAAACAACGAAAAACTGAAGAAGTCGAATGAAGAATTTTTTAAAACAAACCTTCATTGCACCAGAGACGGAGGCAGCCTCATCGTACTGCGCGATCGTTTTGACTTTTCCGCAGAGTACATCACCCGATAACGATACCGACGACAGGAAACCAGTCGATCCCGAACCACCCTCAGCATCCGCGATGCGCGCATTGTGCACCAACGCATTCACTGTCACCGCACCCAACTCCAACTCCACACACACTTCCGTGCATAACCTTAAACTTTATCCTTATAAACTCTATCCTTATAAGCGATGAATATAACAATGATGAACATCATTCTTTTGAAGTGTTTTTGCAGTACTGGAAATCGCCTTGTTCAATTCAAACTGATTTTGTTATCACATGCAACCTTCATTTCATTTGGGTTCGTGGCTATCAGTTGATTAGCGCATGAACAACCGATTCACTTCATTCTTTCATTCATTTCAATTACTTCGCTATTACTAATGTTATCAACCTTCACCATTCAGTCTTAATATTATTTTAACATTCTCTCTTTTTCATAATCATTCATCATAAACCTTTGGCATTACCGCCATTATTGAACCCTATTATCATTACTCGTATCATCGGTATCGGTGCATTCAACATCATTATGATTCTCTGAACTCATCACAGCAGTTACTGCCACTTTCATCGATAGATTTATCACTTATTAACCCACAAATTTGTGAAAACATCACAGATGAAGGTCGAGATCAGCCTCATTGCGGCCCCTTCCCGCAGCAACAGCCCTAATCAAAGAATCCGGAACAGGACAAAGATAACCTGCTATGGTTGACGATTGCAGGTGGGCGATCAGTCACGGCCGAATAATTCCAGTCAGAGCCGATTCTCCAATCGTCCAACTCCTTACCACCTAAATCCGGCCTTATCAACGGTGATATCCACAAAACATGACCGAATTTCGTCAGGTGTCGAGCATAGAACAAATCCGCAGCAAACAACGATATGTCTGCAGGAACGTTACCCAACGGTATCCGCAAATAACGACTATATTGAACATAATCCTGAAAATACTTTTCGAAATAATACTCCCCTTCTTCCGAGATGAGAATTGCATTGAAATTACAACTTTGAATACTTTCTTTTTGATGATTTCGTCAAGTTTTTCATGACAAACAATAACTCAATGATTAGAACAAAATATGATACATATGCGTAAATATTCGAAATTCCATCAACTAACGATGTATTACACTGATTCTTATTCTTGAAGAAATTGCAGCTGAAACACGAAACATTCATTTGGAGACAAATTCTAATCAAATTAAGTCAAACAAATTTTAATAAACAAATTTTACTGAAAAGTTTCAAATTGAAATATTCAAATAGAATAATGAAAAACGAAGACGAACATGCAAATAAACGAATGAATTGAAATAATGTTTGATGATTCGTCGCGGAACATTGCGTTGCCAGTCGAGTGCACTGAATAAATTCGTCGGTTCGGGGCAATGAATTCTGACGAGTGGAAACTCCTTCAACGACTGAACACCCTTCATCAGTGCCGATGTCTGTTCATTGGAATGAACAGCAATGAACATTGGTTGTGTGTCCACTTGACGAATAGCACGTAAATACTAGAATGCAAAAGAAAATTTAGTGAAAATTTCGTAAATTCAAAAAAATAATTATTCTCTTCCTCTTTAGGATCACCAGTATCCTCATTAGAAATTAAAACCCAAATGTGCAAGTACATTGACTAACAATACGACGAGGATCAATAAAAATGAATGTTAGATCTTCTAAGATATGCAAATTCCACTCTTCCCCATTTAAGGAAGTAAATCTGGTACCTCGAAATGCACTGGTTCCCTCAAACAAACAAAAAATTCCCACTGAAATGAATCAACAAAACCTTGTCAACAGTATTTTGAGCTTCTTTCACTGTTGCGCATTGGAACGTATTGAAGTTCACTGTTGGTTTACGCTCCAATAATGGTGTGACTGCAGTTCCTTCCCTAAATCAAATCATATAGGCGAACAATTTTAAAAAACCAGAAACAACTTAAACTTATCCGACTATAATCTATGGCCACATCACGGCTCATAGCTTTCAAGAATTTAACTGCCCTTCCCCCCTTCCCCTCCCCACAAAATTTTCCGTATTTCCGAATCACGATCTAAATCGTCAACCTATTGATAGGAAAAAAAGCAAACAGGTTTACACCCTCTTTCTAAATAATATAAATAAGTTGCAAATTTTCAAGTAACCCATGAAGATCTCAAGCTATCCTGAACAAACGCTTCGTTAAATCACCAAAATATCTAAACGTCGAGTAAACATCCAATGAAAATTTGCGCACGATCCAATGCAAAGTCAACTAACAGCGCTGCTTTTTCGTTGTCATAAATTTTTGTGACATTCGGGAATTCCATATTCACACCAACGATAATCGCATCGTTCGCTGCCGTGTTAATGACCGCAATAACACAAAACTTATCCTGTCGATACTCATAATAATACGCACTTCGAATGCTCTTCTCAGGCAAATATTCTGCATCGGTCACCTGAACGATACTCCGTCATTAACTTGCTGCTATTATTACTTCAAGTTGCAATCGACAAACGTTTATCTATGATCACACCTTTGCTCATTGTAACTTATTTCGCTCGGGAGCAAAATTTCGCGAAGTAATTGCAAAACCACTATATACTCCAAGTTTGTATTTCCTTTTCAAAAATTAAGCTTTCTAATAACTGAGTTTCATCTCATCAAAAAGTTCGTCTGAAGGAAAGAGTATGAATAGATCTGGAAGATTTGGAAGCGATGAACTTAATTTGCTGAATAAAAACTTGATGGATGAATTAAATGAAAGATAAGATTGGAGTGTAAGAAAATGACCGCTTCCAGCTGCTCTAAATTGACACTTGTCATTGTGAATGTCGACGATCGATCAGTTTTCAGTTTACAACACGATCCCAACTCGAGGATCGCTCTAAACTCGATTGGCACTTGTGCTTCATAAATGCCTTCCACTCGCATCGCACACAATTCTCGATTGAGTGCGCTAAAAAAGTCGCTCATCATTTGAAAATATAATCGCACACAATCGAACTTTTTGTGAAAAATTGACTATTTGGGTACAATACTTGAATTCAAAACCTTGAATACCTTTTCATATTTTTGCACATTTTATAAACTTTAAAATGCTTGAATATTTTTTCAGTTTTTCACTCTAAACACAAGAAGAATAAACTTGCAAAAAGCTTATTTTAAACGTGAATGTAAGAAATATGAAATGAAAACTTGCTAAGA